GAGCAGAGGAAACACATCTTTGGCAGTTCCCCAACAGGAGGCAGCTGGGCAGGGGCAGAGGTGAGTGCTCTGGGGCGCCTTCCAAAGAGGCGGCATCTCCTGAGCTGTTGACAGGCTGGTAGCTGAGGGGGAGGGGAGGGAGGCTCACTCACCTTTTTGACCTTGTGAACTGATCATCCTTAGGTTAAGAATGAACTCCTGTCCCCACACGAATATTGCAGAGTTGGCCCAGACGTGCAGAAGAAGAGAGAGAAGGAGACAGCAAAGGAATCTTGATGTTCCGTGGACCAGACACCATGTACTTATATGGATTTCCATGGAGGAGCCAGTTTACATGCAACACATTCCTTCCTTGAGGTGTTTCAGGACATTCCCATAACCGTCTGTAATTATCCCAGTCAGGGTTCAAGAAACAGCACGAGACATGGTGAGAAATAGCGCAGGCTTGGTTTACTGCAGATGATGACTGGATTTGGGAAAGAGGCCTCAGAGATTCTTGTGTGTAAGGGGCTATCATTAGCCTTTTCTTCAAGAGAAAGAGTGTTACTGTCAAATAAGAATCTTTTAAAGCTTTGAGATGCTTACTGGGTCTGACACATGAAGGTCTTCAACCCTGAGAAGCAGGTTGCCTCTGTGCCTGCCAGGCCCCTCTGTCCCTGGGATTCTCCAGGCAAGAATACTGGAACAGGTTGCCATTTCCTTCTCCGGGGGATCTTCCCAACCCAGGGATCGAACCCACGTCTCTTGTGTCTTCTGCATTGGCAGGTGAATTCTTTACCACTGAGCCACCAGGAAAGCCCTTAAAAGCATGTTAAGTCTTTATAAAATTGTTTTCCAAACTAGTTATCTTATTTCTCTTCAAATTCCTCTTCCATTTTGTCCATCGCTTATTGTTGGCCAATTGACCACTTTTTTAACTGGTTATTTTTACTAGTCTTCTTCAAAATTGTGAGATAATAAACTAGTCCTAAGTCTGTGATGTGAACCCCAGCGTTCAAATACAATTTTAGTGGAAGGCATGGCTGATGGGAAAAGTAGGTCAGAGAGCTCATGATAAACTGCTCCCAAGAAGGGGTTTTGGCCCCATCCACAGTGGACACTTTTCCTCATTCTGACTTTATTAACTTGCTGCACACAAGCTTCCTGATCAGTTCACCCAGTAATTTTATCACAACTGCTCTTGGGGGTAATCATTCCTGGGACATAATTTAACTCAGGGGGTTTACAATTGAGCTATGGGCCAAAATATATGGGGAAAAAATGTCTCACCAGGATGCCTAAAGATCCTTGGTTTAAATATTTTGGCAATCCAATGCTCGGCAGAGGAATTCAACACAATTTTTTGAGTTCTGTTTCTTGGTTTCTTCCTTTCTTGGCTTAAGCAATGAGTTCACACGTTGGTCTGGGCATGTGGTTCAGAGAACTGTCCTCAGATTCCAGTTAAGCTTCGTGGAAGAGTGAATCTAGTTGCCACCTTTGCGTCTGAGGCTCTAGTTCACACTCCTTTGGCTTATTTCTAAATGTTTTTATTTTCTAATAAAAAATTAGTTCTTTCTGAAGACGCAGTACGTATGTATAATGGAATGTTAGTCAATCATAAAAAGGAAAATGGTGCCATTTGCACCAACATGGATGGACCTGTCTGAGTGAAGTCAGACAGAAAAGGTGAAATATCGTAAGACATCCCTTATATGTGGAATCTTAAAAAAATGATACAAATGAACTTACAAAACAGAAAGTCACAGACTTGGTGAAGGTTATGGGTGCTGGAGAGGAAGGATGGGGGCGGGGGCAGTTAGGGAGTCCGGGATGGACAGGGACACGTGGCTCTATTTAACGGATAACCACCAAGGCCCTGCTGCGGAGCGCGGGGACTCTGCTGGGTTACGTGGCAGCTGGGTGGGGGCTTGGGGGAGAGTGGACACATGTATTTGTATGGATGAGTTCCTCTGCTGTCCCCCTGAAGCAATCACAACATTCTTTCTTAATCACCTATCCCCCAATACAAAATAAAAAGGTTTTTTAAAAAAGAATAAACAATCACTTCTTTCTTCTTAGAGGTCATCTTGTCAGGGCTTAAAGTTCTTCTGTCTGGTGGAATGCTTTGTCTTTACTTAAAAAAATTAGCTTGGTGCTTAGTATGTAATGATGATGTCTTTTATCTGTAGGAAAAGGGGAATTAGTCCTTTTCTTTTTTTAAGGGGGAAATGAGTTCGTGTTGGGAGCACCTGGTAACCGCTGGTTACGAACATTTCTTTCGTTGACTTGAAAGACCTTTCGGAAACACTGCCCATGCTGAGGACTTGGCCTGAAACTGCAAGAAAGAAGAGACGCTTCCTGCGGGTGCCCAGTGAAGGCTGACGGTGAGGCTGGGCCCCCTAGAGGGAGATGTCATCTCGTGGGGTGAAGCTGGTGGTGGACATGTGACCTGAGGGGTGACAGAAGCGACGCTCTGGCCTGTCTCACTTCCCATCCCCTGATTTCCTGCTTAGACTTGCTCCCGCATTGGCCACTGGCAAAGGATCTGGAGGACCACGGAGGAGCTCGGCCTCCCAGGAAGAGAGGAGGGCGGAAATGGATGCTTCCCCGGCCAGGGAAGCCAAGAAGTGGAAAGGGCGGTGTGAGCGGCCCCAGCGAAGCCTCCGCACGGGGCGCCTTCTCAGGCCCCTTCCAGCCATCGCCACACGGCTTCTCCCCACCGGGGGCCCACGCTGCTCGGCCCGCGGACTTCTTTGGCTTTCGCTTCCGCTCGGCACCTCTCCTCTTCTCTGCCTTCTCTCCCAGTTTTCTGTTCTTGAACTTCTCTCCCCCTCTTCCTCTCCTGTCCTTGGAGCCTGCCTCAGCCTAACAAAAGGCCTAAACCTCCACTGAAAATCCCGAAGAGCTCTTTCATGAACTTTTTTCCAGTAAAAGGAGATGGATTCAGGAGGACAGTTCTGATTTTTAAATGGAGAGACTTGCATAAGATGATCTTTTCAGGCTATGTCTATTGGTCTTGATGATCAAAAAGAATCATGATGTACTACTTACATTGTATAGTAAGAAAAAAAAAGACCAAAAATTTTTTTGAAAGGATAAAGAAAGCCCCATAAATACTGTACATCTTTTGTCAGAAAAGGATCGTCGATATATCTTCTCATTTCCTTTTTGGGTCTGCTGTTTTCAATTTCTAAGGCTGGTTACACCACTCAAGTGACTCATGGGCCCATTCTAAGAGTCGTGTTTCAGGTGGAATGAAATGAAGACATTCCAGTTGCTACACACAATGCCTGTGGGCTGACAGCTGTCACATATCAATAAATCAGACTCTTATTAAGAATTATTGGTTATTAATCACCACAGTCCCTGACTATGAAGATGAATTCCTTGTTGCTGTGCTAACAGCTTTCAAAACATACACTTACGCCTTCCATCTGAAAGAGGGGAATCTGTTTCCCTTTCAAGACAGAAGTGAACTTCTCTGGTGAGGACATCGCCCATGAATTTAACAGCCCTACAGTGCGCTGAGCTCCGCTCTAAGAGGACAGTGATTCATGCAGACGTGGCATTGGGCTGCAGAACCTCTGAAGCCTGAGCTGCCCCACTGTGGACGCTGAGCAACACACAGCTGGGAGCAGAATCCACACCATTCCTGGGTTTGTCTTTAACGGTGAAAGAGTGCCTGAATGTGCTGTGCCAACAGCTTGTAAATCCATAACTGGGGGAGGCTACTGAGGCTCTAACTGCCCACAGCGTTAGTATCAGGTTCAGAGGGTCCAGTTGGGCTGGAAGGTGAAATGATACGCGGCAGCGAATGAACAGGAGATCACTCACATTCTGGTGGAATTGTCTTTGAAGCTGCATTGTGCTCTGAAATTGGAGGAACGGCTTCCCAGGTAACCCTGGCTTCGCTGTGTGGCCATATTCAGAGGCCAAAGAAGTCACGATGAACCGAGCGCAGGCCCCCCCGAAGCTTCTCCAGATCGGAGCAGACGGAGGGCTGGTCAAGCGGGAGACCCCTTCCCGCCGCCTCCGCGACACGTGCGGACCCTCGTTGCCGTGCCGACAGCGCCGTTTCCACGCAGAAGCGGCCATCTGCGCCCGCAGAGCCTGGCGTCCTTCCCGGAGGGGAGTCAGGAAGGCTCCGAGGCGGAAGCTGTCTGGGCCCCCCTCGCTGCTTTCCCAGTGTTCCCAGTTCCCGTCCGGCTGGCATTTCCGTTGTCGGAAGGCGCGCTGTTTGTGTAAGTCAGAGTGCAAGCTGTCCTCCGCGTCTGCTGCTTTTCACCCACCCAGCAGTTTGTCTTGCGACCCAACCGTGGCCAGAGGGCCAGCCGGCACCACTGCATTAGAAGGCGAGGCCTTAGCCCCTGGACGGCCAGGGAAGTTCCAGCCCCCCGCCCTCTTACACGCTTGTTGAGGAGACATGTAACCAGACAAGCAAATACATAAAATCATTTAGACAGGGCGACAGAATATGAAGGAAATAAAAGAGGGTGATGTTGCAGGATAGCTTAGTGGGAGGAGCGGGGTCATTACAGGAGTCGGTTTTCTTTGAATAAGCTATTTTAACGCTGAGACTCAGAATGAGAAAGAACCAGCAATGCAATGAACTGGAGGAAGAAGGTACCAGGTAAGGAACTGCAATTGCAAGAAGTCCCCAGGCTGGAGAGAGTTTGGGTTGTTGAAGGAACAACAACGGCATTAGTGGAACCAGGGTGGAACATGCTTAGTGAGCGAAGGATTATGTCAGAGCGCGTAAGGGCCTGGGTGTACACCGTGACGGGGTGTTTTGACTTTATTCAGTTATATCCATCCAACTGCACAGCCTACGATTCTTCACTTCCTTCCTTATCCATCTTAGGTATCACGGTTCACTGTTACAATCTCTCCCTTGAGAACATCTTCCCCTTTTATTTAGTTAGCTGTTGCTGTGTAACAAATTATACCAAAAAAATGCAGGGGTTTTTGGACGGTTCTGTCTCGCAAGACTGCAGTCAAGATGACTGTAAGCTGTCCGAGGCATGAATGGGCGGGGGCCTCGCTTCCAAGCTGACTCGCCCGCAGGCCCGGTGGGCAGTCCTGGCTGTTGGCAGCAGGCTTCCGCCCTGTGTCCCGTGGGCCGCTCCGCAGGACTTCTTGAGCGTCCTCGTGACGTGGTGGCTGGCTGCCCCCAGAGGGAGGGATCCAGGAGAGCGCAAGGTGAGAGTCACAATGCCTTTTCTGACCCAGCCTTGGCAATCACACACCACTTCACAACACCGACCAGTCACACAGGCCATCCTATTCACGTGGGACAGCAGGGGTCCCACACGGGCAGCCTGTTTCTCTGCACCTGCTAAGGATGAACGCAAACTGATGCGGTGTCTGCTGTTCTGATGTTTTTTTTCTCAGATACTCATTTGAAGACATAAATCGTAGAAATTGAGAACCCGTGCTCTGGGGCCACCAGGAACGCTGGGCTCAAAGATCGGGTTGACCACTCCTTAGCCCTGTGACCTGCGGCACATTTCTTAACCTTGCCAAGCTTCTGTCTCCTCATCTGAACACTGGAAGCCATTCCACCTCACAGCTCACGGTCAACATGAAAACTAAAGTGAGATGACGCTTTAAAACAAACTTAGAAATAGACAGCTAGTGGGAAACTGCCGTACGGCACAGGGAACTAAACTCGGTACCGTGATGACTGACGTGGGGGGCGGGATGGGTGGGAGGCAGGCCCTAGAGGGAGGGGACCCCTGTATGTAGCGCTGACTCTCACTGTTGTACCGTAGGAACCAGCACGGCCCGATATTAAAGCAAGTGGCCTCCCATTATGAGTGAAAAAGTAAGCGATCTCTGTGGCTCATGTCTGCGTCTATCACACACACACACAAGCAACGCTCTGAATTCAGTGATACTGTATTAATTTGAGAAACTGTATTTTGTTACACATTCACATCTTCTCAGATAAAGGAAATAAGCTAAGTTTTGATGAAAAATTAAATGCATCTAAACAGAAAAGAAAAACAGACTTAGCCATGATAATTGTCACACAAATTTTCAGTATATGTTATCAGCCGCTGTCCTTGCTCTTACTCCTTTTTTTATTACCGCAGAATGCAGTTACTCTTTGACGTATTTCACAAAGTTTGGTGAATTCACAAAGTTCAGCCTGCAGTCAGTTTAGATGGAACAGACAGTGGACTTGGTGGTCTGGATGACCCCCTGTGATGCATATTCAGGATGCCAGACATTCAGACCTGTCATAAAAATTTCTCCTTCAACACGGTAAAATTTGGCAGGCTCAGTGTTTGTCCTCAGATGAGCCATGAGTCAAGCATTGGGCCAGCTCAGTAGGAGCATCTAAGTTCAACCCCAGTGCGAAATCTAATCAGCACTCAGAGTCAAAGGATGAGTTGGTGGTTCAGGTATTTATATCAGAAGGTGTTAAAAGATTATTTGGAACATGGTGGAGGGTAAGAAACAGGATTTCAAATCCATTCCAGAATGACATTTCTTGACAGTCTTCTAGGAAATGAAGTTAATGAACTTTTGAAGATCATTCATTTTTTTTCCAACTAAGGTTTTTTCTGGACATGAGTTTCAACTAAGGTTTCAATGGACATGAGTTTGAGCAAGCTCCGGGAGTTGGTGATGGACAGGGGAGCCTGGCATGCTGCAGTCCATGGGGTCACAAAGAGTCAGACACGACTGAGTGAACTGAACTGAACTGAAGGTTTTTGAGTACCTACTATGTACCAGACACTAGGCCAGGTTCTGACAAAGTGGCTAAGAGCAAGTCTGCCTGAACCCCAACTCTCACGGTGTGCAAATTTAAGTCAGCAGCTAGAGAGCGCATAGCCCTTGTTATTCTGTTTGATGGCTTAACTTTCTACAAGTTGCTAGAAGTTGCTAGAAACTTGAGGGATTTCCATCCATATGTTCAAATGAATAATAGCCTTAGTGGCAGGTATAACATTTGTACCCAGTTAATCAGCGACCTAATTATTCAATAGCAGATAAAAATGTATTAACTTGTTGAGACAAATGTGTCTCCTGAAGCCAATGTTTAGAACTAAATTATCAACATATTTTGAGCAATAATGTCATGATCACAAATCATTTTTCTCAATTGTCTTTCTGAGGGCTAATACGAGATCCCTGGGAACTGTTTGTATTGCAAGATAAACACATCGATAATGAATAGATTCCCAAGGCAATTTCCAACACTGGTGTGGAAATCTACACATTCCCTGAGCTCTGTTTGCTTCAAAGACAGGTGGAATTCCTTCTGAATTGGGTAAATGGAATGCATTCTGTAAACTGCCCCTTTTGTTACAATTAGCTCAGTAGCTCCTGTGGTTCCTAATTTGGTCAGTCCCATCTGACCTGACAAGCCAATTCTTTGCTCAATTGCAAATCCATAGTGCAGATTTTAATCTCTAACAATTAATAACTCATCCCTACATATCTTGGATAGTTCACGACTGCCAATACGGGCATTTTTTCAGCTGTGTGTACAGGTCTCTAGGGAGACAATACATGTTTGTGAAATGAATGCATGCTTCTCTTCATTTTCAATTCAATGACTGGAATTTGCACCTAACACTTGAAATTTTGCACCATACTGAAATGATATCTCAACAGAGAAAAATTCTAGCATGAGCAATAGTTCTCAACTGGGGTGATTTCACCTCCCAGGGGACATCGGGCCGTGTCTGGTGACATCTTTGGCAGTCACCATTGAGAGAGGTTGCTATTGGCATCTATCAGGTAGAGAACCCAGGATGCTACTCAATATCCTGCAGTGCGCAGGACAGCACCCCTGCAGCAATTATTTAGCCTTAATGTCACTAACGCTGCTGCTGAGACGCTGATTCACCAGGGTGCGTGTCAGTCGCTCAGTCGTGTCTGACTCTTTGTGACCCTTTGGACTATAGCCCACCAGGCTCCTCTGTCCATGGGATTCTCCAGACAAGAACACTGGAGTGGGTTGCCATTTCCTTCTCCAGGGGATCTTCCCAACCCAGAGATCGAACTCCCACATTGCAGGTGGATGCTTTACTATCTGAGCTATCAGGGAAGTCCAATTCACCTGGTGGGGGGGGGGGTCTAGATAATTGTGTAAAAACAAACACTGTATTTTATACAAAAGAGAAGACAAGTCACTTAATTTACCCAAACCTGTTTGCTGATGTGTGCCCTTGGCTGGTAACAGTAACGGCTTCTTGCTGTTGCCATGCGTTTAAGACGTGCGGCAATTCCCTGGTGGTGCAGTGGTCAGCACTCTGCTTTCACTGCCGAGGGCCTGGCTTCTCTCCCTGGTCAGGGAAGTAAAGGTCCCATAAGCTGTGTGGCAGAGCCAAATAAAGTAAGTAATATACACGGAGTGCGGACTATGCTGCTGGCGCGTAGTGAGCCCTCCGGTCCATGACTCTCAACTGTTATTGTCAGTAGCTTCTCTACGCAGAGGACAGTGATACCAGCCTCCGAGGTGCCCACCAGTGGCGTCCATCTCTCACGTGGTCTCCTCACTGAGCAGGGCAGACCTCCACAACCAACAGGCTTTTGCAGAAATGACTTGTGTGACTTCCAAGCTTTTGCCCTAAAAGTGTGACTTCTGCCTTGCTCTAGCTGGGAGGGGTCAGCTGGGCTCTAGGTCCATGTGAGAAACTCTGTAGCGATGTCCACCTAGTGAAGACTAAGGCTCCCTCCAAACGGGCAGCAACTTGCTGCCCCACGAGGGAGCCATCCTGGGAGTGTTCCTCCAGCCTCAGTCGAGCTTTGGGTGGGGGGAAATGTAAATGACCTAAACTGACCCAAGAAGAGAAAGAAAATCTGAATAAACCAATAATCAACAGAGCAATTGGTGCAGTGGTCAAACACCTCCTTGCCCATGTCAGGGCTGGCTCCACAAGTGTGGGACCTCCCCCGGGCAGGCACATGGGACCCCAAGCTTAGGTGGGCACTTGGTCTAATGCCTTGTGCCACTATCTTGAAATTGTTAAATCTTTTTAAACAAGAAGTTCCTCATTTTTAGTTGACACTGGATCCTGCAAGTTATGTAGCCAGTCCTGCCCATGCCTGTGTAGTTTTATAGGTTTTATAACTTTTAAAGTATTGATAATCTAAAGCCTTTTAGGAAACAGGAAAAGAAAGCAAGTTACCCAGTTTATTTTAGAAGAAAAGCATAGTTTTCAAACTTCCAGGATCTCTAAAACAAAGTCATTTAGACGTGTAGGGATAAAATGTGATTTCATCAGGTCTGCCAGAACATGAGTAACTACCAGAGTCATTTATTACCAAGGAAGTTTGATATTGACCTCCACGTATGAACTGTCCTTTCCTCCAATGAAGTTTTCTGATTTTTTTAACTTTTCTGGTCCTAACAAGGAACATGTTGGACAAACTTACCCTAAGTTCATTCCATGCTAGTTGATGAGTTAACTATTTTAAGCTCTTCCGGTACTTGTAGACTTTTAAAGCCTTAATGTGAATTTTTTTCCAGATCACTTGCTAGTGAACCATGGAAAAAATTGGCAGATTGAACGGATGTTTGTCCAAAGTCAGACTCAGCACCTTTATCCAGAAACTCTAAGGAAAAAAAAAAAAAGCTGAAGTTTGTCTCAGGAATTTCATGAAGACCACAACGGCAGCATATTCTGCTGGGTCTATGGTTCTGATCTAATCAACACCGTGTCTTTAAAAGGCAGTTCTGAGCTAGTCTTTGTGGCCTTATGATTTTAGTTGCTCGTTTTAGTTAATCATCTGCTTCTGTTTTTTAATGCAAACCAGAATCCACTTTGCTGATGAATCAAAAACATCTGTGCCTCCATTCTTACTCACATTCATGTTTCCTGCCTTATTTTCATTTATTCATTTTCAATGAGAAGATAACTCATATGTGGGGTTTTCCGACAGCCGAAAGGTAGCTGAAATTAAAAATCTCAGAACGTTTCGGAGAACAATGATGACAGATAATTTCCTACCATTCAGGTGTTAAAGAACTAATCAATCCAAGCTTGCAAGGTGGGATGAGCTTGTCTCTGTAGTGAATGATGCTATGAAGAGCAGAGAACTTCCAGAAGGGAATAAGGAGCAACTCTTGCAATGTGAGAACAGAATTGCTTTATCCTTAACAGGCATACAATTTAATAGGATGCAATAGGTATTTGTTGGGTAAATCAGTGCATGACACTGTTCTGATGGTTAATTTGGGACTTACTAAGCTCTTTTCTTGAGGGGGGCTTCCCAGGTGGTGCTAGTGGTAAAGAACCCACCTGCCAATGCAGAAGACAAAAGAGAAGTGGATTCGATCCCTGGGTCGGGAAGATCCCCTGGAGGAGAGCACGGCAACCCCCTTCAGCATTCTTGCCTGGAGAACCCCACGGACAGAGGAGCCTGGTGGGCTGTAGTTCCTGGGGTCACAAAGAGTCAGGCACGACTGAAGCGACTCTGCACGCATAGAGACTTCTTTTTGGACTTTCCTTTTTAATAGGAGGTGACCCTCATTCTCCTGCCCTGTGGACTCCCCAACACAGACACTCACTCATAAAACCAACAGAGGAGAGTTTGCTGGTAGGACTGATGTGACAGTCCTTTGTGACATAATCGGGGTGACACCCCAGCACCCGGGACACAGTCTGTCAGAAGCCAGTCACAGGTCTGGCCCGTACTTCTGGGGGGTTGTTTAAAGATGTGACTCAGGAGGTGGGAAACACAGAGGCCACCTCCGTGTCTGGGCTCCACGGCCAAACCTCTCCGGGTTAAATCCCAGCCCCATTGCATATGAGTTCCAAGAACCATAAGCATTTACGAATCTCCAAGACTGTTTCCTCATCTGTGAAATGGAGCATCTACTTGCCCCTTCCTCCAGGGTTATTAAATTCTAGCAGTTCCTCATTTCCATATACCCTTGGGACATCTTCATGCTGGCTGCCTGACATCACTCCCTATCACCCCCCCCTTTAAAATGTAACCCCCTGCTCGGGGAACTAAGATCCCACCTGCCTCCTGTCGCACCCAAAAGATTTTTTGAAAAATAAAATGTCAATCAACTTACTTAAAAAGCAAATATAATAGTACTCCTAGAAATTTTTTAGTAGTAGCATTATGGAGGAGAACTGTAAGCACACATTAACAGTAATAAAGATTACTTGTGTGCAGACCTTCAAAATTCATCCTGCACATCATATGTGAAGGCTGTGTTTGCGCCCTTGAGTGGCTGGGGCCGGGAGGGCGGCGTGCAAAGAGCCTGAGCTCAGCTCGGCTCACGGACACACCAGAATCACACCCATCTGCAGAACAGTCATCAGAGAAAAAGGCCAGAGCCCGCACAGAAGATCTTCCACAACTAAGACATAAAGAAGGAGCACGGCCAGACGAGGAGGACAGACCCGCACTACAGTCGGTGCACGACCCCCGGCGCGGGAGCGGGAGCGGTTCCACCGCGGGGTTTCTCCCGTGGGAGCCAGAGCTCGGAGCTCACAGGGCGCTCCAGCCCAGGGTCCTGCCCTGGGAAGAGGAGCCCTCGGAGCGTTAAGCTTTGAAGGCAGGCAGGGCCTCACTTTGGGAGCGCCCCAGGACTGGGGGAAACAGAGGCTTCCCTGGTGGCCCTGCGGTGAAGACTCCGCCTGCCCACGCAGGGGACCCCCGAGCCGCCAGGACCACGGAGCCCTCCCCCTGCAACGGAAGACCCCACAAGCTTCACGCAGCTAAGAACTAACGCAGCCAAAACTGACCAAATACATATCTTAAAAAAAAAACAAAAATGGGTGCATATGATTCAAACGTTTTGCAACAATAAAAGGGCCCACAGCCCCTCACGTGCCCCTGGCCGTGGGCAGAAGCAGCCAGTGGACCGGAGCCGCGGACAGACACGGGCGGGGGGCACCCCCGGGACCTAGTGGACAGTGCTGCTTGCTGGCCGCCGGCCCGGGGTCCTCCCTCCTGCTCGGGGGAAGGCTGGGTCCACCGGACCGCCCGTGGGCACAGCGTGGACGCCTCAGGCCACGTGGCTAACTGGCCGGGGACCCCCCCCCAGCAGGGGGGCTGCCTAGAGACCCCGAGCCCACAGCCCTGCTCCCCGCAGGCCTTGCGCCAGCTGCGCCGCCCCCCGCCCAGTGCAGGCATCGGTTCCAGAACCCTCTCCGCGAGTCTGGCCCTGCCCTCCAGAGAGCTGGCTGTTTGTGCCGGGCCGGCCTCGGCCACCAGGGGGCAGGTGCCAGACGCAAGAAACACTATGACCTCAGGCCTAACTAGTTAATTTAAAAAACCAGCAGAAGCTGTCTTGCCATGTTGAGGAACTAAGATCCCACACGCCAAAGAGCACCGCGAGCCACCGCTGCTGCTGCCCCGAGCTCCGGAGCCCACGGGCCGCGAGCAGAGGGTCTGTGCACGCTGCTGAAGGCCCGCGTGAAGCAACCAAGGCTCCAGACAGCCAGAGAAATCAGTATACTCGTCAATACATTTCTTTTTTGGCTGCACTGACTTTTGTTTTTTTTGCACGGGCTTCTCTAGTTTCAGCGAGGGGGCTGCTCGAGTCGCAGCGCGCAGGCCTCTTCCTGCAGCCGCTTCTCCTGGGCGGAGCGCAGGCTCTAGCGCATGGGCTGCGGGCACGCGGCTCCCAGGCTCGAGCGCAGGCTCGGTAGTTGTAGTGAACGGGCCTAGTTGCCCTGCAGCATGAGGGATCTTCCCAGACCAGGGATCAAGCCCGTGTCCCCTGCATTGTCAGGCAGATTCTTATCCACTGCACTGCCACAGAGGTCTAATAAATAAATAAACATTTAAAAAAATCAAATAGGTGAAATTCGTTAGTGCACCATAAGCTCAAAAAAGAAAAAAAAAAAAACCCACTATCCCCCAGCTGGGATTCCAGCTGAACCCTGGCTCTGACCCCTTGCAGGTACACAGAAGCTTCGGGATATCCCAGACCCGATGCTCCACCATGTCAGGAACTAGCCCCTCCGCCAGCGAGCTGACACCAGCTCCGGGGTCCCTGAGCCACACAGGACCCCAGGAGGGTCTGCTGGCTCTGCCTGCCAGCAGTCTGGAACTTACCCCAAGTCCTGCCTTCACCCGCCAGTGGGTGGGCAGCAACTCCAGAGTCTCCTGGACACTCTGCCTGCCAGGGAGACAGTGTAAGCCCAGGGGTCCCTGGGATTCCACAGGCAGCTGCTCCGTGATCCGGGCCCGCCAAGCAGCAACCTGCAGATTGGGGGTCAACCACGCCTCGCAGACCACCCGCACAGTCAGCCCTCCACGCAGCCTTCACTGGGGAACTGCTGGGGCATAGAGCTGGGGCAACGAGAGGGGTGTGCGCTGCTGTATAGTGGGATGCCTCCTGTGAAAAGCCACCTCTCCAAGGCTGGAGACACTGAGGCTCATTGTCGTGGAGACAACAGTTAAAGAAAAGAGTGAATACTGAAACAACAAGGGAAAAGCAGCAAATACCAGACGAGAGACTCCATGGGGCTACAGTTGATTTGTCAGCAAAAACTTTGCAGGCCAGAAAGGAGTGGCATGATATATTTAAAGGGAACGAAAAGGGCTATTTAAAGAGATGAAAGGGAATAACTTACTCCTCAAGAATACTCCCCTCACCAAGGCTCTTGATCAGATTTGATGGAGAAATCAAAAATTTTACAGACAAGCAGAAGCTGAAAGAGGTCAGCACCAGCACACTCTTTAGGAGAAATGTGAACGGGGGCCGTCCCTGTTGGTCTAGCGGCTAAGGCACCGTGCTCCCAACACAGGGGACCCAGGCTGCAGCCCAGGTCCTGTGCGCCTCAGCCAAGACCCGGCACCGCTGATAAATAAGTAAAGATTGAAAGAAAAAAGGAAATTGTCTAAGAGAAGGAGAGAAGGTCACAACTAGAGACAAGAAAAGATGAAACGAAAAAGCTCCCGGGTAAAGAGGAAAACATACAGGAAAGGGAGAAGACCCACCACATACAAGGCTTGCAGGAAGGTTAACACAAGAGCAGACAAAATCATTTCTGTCCACAAGGAGCTGTTAAGGGACACACAGAACAATTAGATGCTAAACACGGTGTTAAAAGTAGTGATGGTGAGGAGAGGATAAATCCAGGGCTGTTAAAAACGTGCTTAAAATTAAGAGACCAGCCACAGAACACAATCATGTACACATATATGCTGCCATATAAAACCTGGTGGTAGGGACTTCCCTGGTGGTCCAGCGACTAAGACGCCACACTCCCAACGCATGGGCCCTGGTTCAATCCCTCGTCAGGGAACTAGACCCCACAGGCTGCAAATAAGACCTGGCACAGACAAATAAATAATTTTTTTTTTAACTCATGGTATCCACAAGCCAAGATCCATAATAGAAATACAAACAAAAAAGAAAAAGGGGTAAATAAGCACCCTTAATAAATACAGTGAGAAAAAAATCAGCATTGTTGCTGCTAAGTCGTGTCTGACTCTTTGAGACCCCATGGACTGTAGCCCACCATGCCCCTCTGTTCATGGAATTCCCAGGCAAGAATACTGATGTGGCTTGCCATTTCCTCCTCCAGGGGATCTTCACGACCCAGGGATTGAACTCAAGTCTCCTGCATTGCAGGCAGGTTATTTACCACTGAGCTACTAGGGAATACGGCGCCAGGCACATAGTTGGTGCTTAATAAATACAGGCTCAGTCCAGCTCAGCCGCTTGGGTGTGTCCGACTCTGTGACCCCATGGACCGCAGCACGCCAGGCCTCCCTGTCCATCACCGACTCCTGGAGTTTGCTCAAACTCATGTCCATTGAGTCAGTGATGCCATCCAACCATCTCATCCTCTGTTGTCCCCTTCTCCCCCCGCCTTCAATCTTTCCCAGCATCAGGGTCTTTTCTAATGAGTCAGCTCTTCGTATCAGGTGGCCAAAGTATTGGAGTTTCAGCTTCAACATCAGTCCTTCCAATGAACACCCAGGACTAATCTCCTTTAGGATGGACTGGTTGGATCTCCTTGCAGTCCAAGGGGCTCTCAAGAATCTTCTCCAACACCACAGTTCAAAAACAGTAAATTCTTTGGCGCTCAGCTTTCTTTATGGTCCAACTCTCACATCCATACATGACTATTGGAAAACCATAGCTTTGATAATATAACATAATTAGGTAATATAAGCACAACGAATGCTTAACAATTATGTGTCTGGACTTGGCTTTCCAACTCTTCTTATTGCTGTGTTGCCGGCAACTGTCACCCACCAGTCAGTGCCTGCACACAGCAGGGGACACGGACTGGCCCCGGGTAGCTGTCACCTGCTGTAAAGAGACCAGAGCAAATTACGACTAAAGACGTGTCCAAACCAAAGGGAGAGATCGCCTCATTAGAAGGAAAACAAGTGCACATAAAAAATGCAGAACATTTCTCATTCAAGTATGTGCAGCTTGTTCTTAATATTAACTTTGACTTCCAGACTTCTTTCCTCCTCCTCATCTCACCTTTCTGCTCAAAGTGTGCAAAAAGTACGTGATGCCCTTTTGCACTAAAGCAAATGTATTTGGGAGGAAAAAGCAGCTAGTGTGCAAAGCTTTTAATTAATTTTACAGCATCGGTACTTGGGAGTTGATGCTACTTGGAAAGCCCAGGTGCGAGGCATCCAGATGATTAAGCGTTCTGCAAATATTTTTTTGCCGATAAAGGGAGGCTCTGCAGGACAGAACAATCACGGACAGCATAAGTGATGATGTCATTTGGGTCAATGTCCGATTCAGGCGATTAGAGAAAGTTCAACAAATTAGGCTGAATCACAAATGGAGCCTTGGCTTTCAACCAAAGTTGTTCAATAGGCTTTGCCAAATACATGCTGATAGATTAATTTGACCCACCCATTTCCACGTTCTCTGAATGCCACAAAGTGCAGGGAAGTGAGTAAGGCCTGTGGAATCAGAGATTAGGATTTGGGTCTCAGTTTTCTGCTTACAGTGTTTCCCTGCGTGAAAAGCTTATTAAAACGTGGGAAGATTCCTAGCTCCCTGGCAAGGCTATCTGAGGAGTAGTTGAGACAAGGTACAGGAAAAGCCCTCGAACACAATAAACGTTAATTGCCCTAATTAAATATTTGTGCATTTTAGTTTGTTATTGGAATCCAGTGAGATTCCGTGAAGGCCAAAGGGAATGTGTAGTCAGTTCCTAGGAGTTCCAAAAAGGACTTTCAAAATGAGGTGTAAGGGTTTCTCTGAGGGCTCAGTGGGTAAAGAATTCTTCTGCCAATGCAGGGGTGTAGGTTTGATCCCTGCATCGGGAAGATCCCCTGGAGGAGGAAATGGCAACCCACTCCAGGATTCTTGCCTGGGAGATCCCGTGGACAGAGGAGCCTGGCGGGTCACAGTCCGTGGGGTTGCAGAGAGTCAGACGTGACTCAGTGACTAAACAACAACAATCCTTACAAAGGGAGCTGTTTTTCATTTTTGCCTTTTGACCCAGAAACAGAAGTTCTGACACTGCCCCTGCGCCGCGCCAAGTACTGAGCTAGGCATATGCCGAATTTTCTTATTCCCAGAAGAACATGTGCACATGAGGTATTTCAGTCTCTATTTAATAGCCGAGGCCCAGAGAAGCTGAGTAAAGTCAAGTCACAGAGCTAGGAGATGATGCCGAGAGGATAAAAGCGCAGCTGAAGTTAATCCCTGCAAATTTGTGTCTTTCCCGATAGCAAGGTGGGGTTTACAAGGCGGGGAACTGTGTTTCTTTAGAGGAGAGGCACGCTGGCGAACGGAGTTCTCAGGTCAGCCAAGAAGTGCAAGACCGCTTAGAGTTATGATGCCTTTCACATCCCTTAAACCATCCGCAAGGGAAAGTCAAGTTGCTCAGTCATGTCTGACTCTTTGGAACCCCATGGACTGTAGCCTGCCAGTCTCCTCTGTCCGTGGGATTCTCCAGGCTGGAATACTGGAGTGGGTTGCCATTTCCTTCTCCAAGGTGCATCGTAAAGTCATCGCTCATCAATCCACCCAGTTAGCATTCCCTCCAGAGCTGGAAGAGGTTGAAAGCAACATGAAGTGGTTAGCTTGTGTCTCGGGGCTATGTCCTATGGAAAAGGGCTTTCCAGGGCTCAGTGGCCAAGAATCTGCCCGCCGTGCAGGAGCCGCAGGAGTCTCGAGTTTGATCCCTGGGCCGGGAAGATCCCCTGGAGGAGGAAATGGCAACCCACTCCAGTATTCTTGCCTGGAGAGTCCCACGGACAGAGGAGCCTGGCGGGCTACAGTCCATGCAGTCGCAGAGAGTCAGACACGGCTTAGAGACTAGGCTCACAGGTCTGTGAAAAATGTACACCCTCCACTGCTGGAACCATGCAGAAAGCAGCAGGGTGCTCACGCTTTGAGATGCGCAGGGCGAGTGGAACAAGGGCTGGATCTCAGTGCCCAGGTCCGCTCACTAGTGAGGCTGCTACAATCACTCGTTTTCCCTTCTGTCCTCATCAGCCCTCTGCTCTGAGCCAGGGTGGTTGAGTCTCGGGGAAGGTGCGCATAATGCAGCTCCACTCCACCACCTGCTTACAACTAGTTGTTATTGTTTAGTCGCTCGGTCATGTCTGACTCTTTTGTGACCCCAGGGACTGTAGCCCATTAGGTTCCTCTGTCCATGGGCTTTCAGTGAATACCGCAGAGGGTTGCCATTTCCTTCTCCAGGGGATCGTCCCAGCCCAGGGCCTGAACTCTCATCTCCTGCATTACCAGCCAGGTTCTTTACCCCTGAGCCACCTGAGAAGCCCTGCTTATAAGTAATAGTTGACCTAAATAATAATAAATAAAATAAATGATTTTCTACTATTCAGAGGAGCAGTGCCAATCTTATGTGCAGAATCTTGGCTACAAATGTCAAGGAAATCCCTTGATCTCTCAGTTCTCTCCTTCCTCTCCCCTTTAAAAAATATTTACTTGAGTTATTTGGCTGTGCCAGGTGTTTCTAATTTCATTTCAATTAAATGACACCAGGTCTTTTTAATTTTATTTCAATTTAATTGACGCTTCAATTAAATTAAAAGATGATTGCTCCTTGGAAGAAAAGTTATGACCAACCTAGAGAGCATATTAAAAAGCAGAGACATTACTTTGTCAACAAAGGTCCGTTTAGCCACGGCTATGGTTTTTCCAGTGCTCATGTATGGATGTGAGATTTGGACCATAAAGAAAGCAGAGCACGGAAGAATTGATGCTTTTGAACTGTGGTGTTGGAGAAGACTCTTGAGAGTCCCTTGGGCTGCAAGGAGATCCAACCAGTCCATCCTAAAGGAAATCAGTCTTGAATGTTCATTGGAAGGACTGATGCTGAAGATGACACTCCAATACTTTGGCCACCTGATGCAAAGAGCTGACTCATTTGAAAAGACCCTGATGCTGAGAGGGATTTGAAGGTGGGAGGAGAAGGGGACAACAGAGGATGAGATGTCTGGATGGCATCACCGACTCCATGGACATGAGTTGGAGTAAACTCCGGGAGTTGGTGATGGACAGGGAGGCCTGGTGTGCGGCCGCCCATGGGGTCACAAAGAGTTAGACATGACTGAGCGACTGAGCTGAACTGTGCCGGGTGTTAGCTTTAGCATGTGGGATCTTTTTTTAGTTGTGGCGTTTGAAATCTTTCCTTGCAGCATGTGGAACCTAGTTCCCTGAAGAGGGGTCAAACCTGGGGCCCCCTGCACTGGGAGCGTGGAGTCTTAGCCTCTGGGCCACCAAGGAAGTCCCCTCCCTCCCCTTTTTCCCTCCCTCTTCTTCCCTCCCCCGGCCCCTCTCTATTACCTGGCCACCGCAAAAGCCAAGTGGATTGCACTCCCAGTGTATCATCATGAGCTGATTTCCCACTTGTTGTCGTTCAGTCACTAAAGTGAAGTCGCTCAGTCGTGTCCGACTCTTTGTGACCCCAGGGACTGCAGCCTGCCAGGCTCCTCTGTCCATGGGATTTCCCAGGCAAGAATCCTGGAGTGGGTTGCCATTTGCTTCTCCAGGCGATCTTCCTGACCCAGGGATTGAACCCAGGTCTCCCACATTTTAGGCAGACAGTTTACCTGAAAGTAAAGTGTCTTTTTTTTTTTTTTTTACCGTCTGAGCCACCAGGGGATCCCGTTCAGTCACTAAGTCGCGTCCAGCTCTTTGCGAGGGTCTGCACCACGCCAGGCTTCCCTGTCTCTCGCCATCTTCCAGAGTTTGCGCAAGTTCATGCCCACTGAGTCACTGATGCTACCTAACCATCTCATCTTCTGCCGCCCTCTTCTCCTTTTGCCTTCAGTCTTTCCCTTAAGCGTCCATTAGATTTTCATTCAAGCTAAAAATTGAGGCAGACTTGGGGGAGACAGAACGGTGTCGGGAGGAGACACATGCATCAGCCACAGGCGCTGAGCGGCACGGGTGAGCAACGACAGGCATCACAGGTCTGAGCTGTGTTCACCCGGGCCGAGCGCGGTGCCACACCCCCGTCTGCCGGGCCTCGGAGAGGAGGCAGTGTGGCTTGGTTGAGGATGTCAGCAGGATGCCTCTGGGGAAATGTGCCTACACATATTGCTCCCCATGAAGTTCAGGAGTGTCATTAATATAATCAGTAAAAAGACAAAAGTTCTTTAAACTCTGAGCCTCAGTTTCCTCCACATCTGTAAAGCAGAGGTAATATTAGCACATTTTAAGAGTGAATGCATTGGCTTCCCCGGGGGGCTCAGTGGTAAAGAATCGCCTGTCAAGTAGGAGACGCAGGTGTGATCTCTGGGTCAGGACGATCCCCTGGAGAAAGAAACGGCAGCCCGCTCCAGTAGTCTTGCCTGGAGGATCCCATGGACAGAGGAGCCTGGCAGCCTAGAGTCCACAGGGTCACAAGAGTCAGACACGACTGAGCGACTAAACAGCAGTGTGTACCCCTGGGGTTATCAATCATCCAGGAAGACTTCCTCCAGGAAGCTTGGGCTGGGCTTGGATGATGAGTGTGCCAGAGGGGAAGACGGCGGAAGGACAGCAGGTGCAAACCCCGGCAGCAGAGAGCGTGCGAAGAACAGAAGGACCTGGCCGAAGCCCGCGTCCCGAGTCGGGCGCGTGGCGGGGAGGGCCCATGAGGCTCGGGGGCCTGCGGGTCAGTGGGCTGCTTCACAAGACACTGGATCCAGCTTAAGGACTCGGTCTTCATGGAGGAGCGATGGGATGCCAGCGAAGTAGGGCGGCACGCAGGCGGGCCTGGGTGCGGGAAAGACCAGCTCACGGCCAACAGACACGAGCAGCCTGCAAGGGCGGAGCGTGCAGACAGGCTGGCGGTTTCCGCAGTGGCCCACCATGGAGGAGGCAGCAGACAGAAGGAAACGGACTTGAAAAAATATTTAAGCAGCAAGAAATGCGAAAATTATTTTGCCATTCAAATGAGCATCTTTTGGTAAAACTGCTATATTATTGTAATGTTATATTGTACCAAATTTTCTAGTGAGACAAAGTTTGAATGTTTAACTTTGGTTGTAAGACATGCAATGAAAGAGAAAACATCTCTCCCATATTTTAAAGATTTTATTCTTACTTTCAGAGAATTCAAAGAAGATATACAGATGAAATCTGACAACACATGTGGATTTATAATTCTAAAAACTTTCACAACAGGAAGCTTAAACCCATTTTAATCATATGTACATATTCATTCATATATGAAGATATAAATGTACACTTCTGAAATAGTCTAAAGATACAACCTAAAAAGGGAAATATTTATCAAATATACAGAAATATATAGTATGCTTTTAGGAAAAGTAGTAGTAAAAACATGCAAACAAACTGTATGTAAACATAATTTTTAAGGAAGTTTTAAAAGTCTTGCTTAAATCTATATGTATTTTCCATATATGAAATCACAATTTCCCAAGGAGTTCAAATCACTTAACACGAGTTACATAATCTATAATGCCTGCACACTTTACTACTGACCCATTCTACAGTTGGGAAAATTAAGGCAGGGGACATCACTGAATATTTTTAAGCTATAACTAAACTTTAGAACATTGCCCTAAATAAACTTCAGATCCTAAATAATATATATACATATTTTAAATGATGCAAGCAAACTGTCATTAGAACACACAATTTAAAAACTGTTGGTCCACACCTTAATATCATAGATTACATAGATGCAATGTCATAATTAAATAATTTCATGATCCTTTAACACAAGGATGCATGGTAAATCATTAACAGATCCTTGAACAGGAGTTTTGACTTAATTAAAGTTGTTCTTAGCATAGAGATTTTCTCTAATTTTTCAATAATGTTTCTATTTCAAAATAAGAAAAAAAAAAAACCAGTTTTATAGGGACCAGATAACATGAACCAACATTTAGTTTTGCTTCCATTATTTCACAGTATTTCCCCAAACATTATATTAAGCAGAGTTACAATAAATGGATTGCCAATATTACCCTGAGCCGCCGACAATCCGGCTATAGGAGATCTTTCACTGTGAAGTGTGAACTTTGAGAAGTGAGGATTCCAGTGGCGAGTCTGACACGGCAGGGCCAGAAACATGTAATGACTTTCGCCTGACTAAGACAGAAGCACCCAGCTGCTCCGTCGTGTCACGGAAGATGCAAGACTAAACAGCAAGATGAGCAAGCCTGCGCCTCCAGGGTGGTGCTGACATTGTTGCGTGAGTCTCGTGTGCCCAGCGTGCTCTCCCTGCGGAGGGCCGGGTCTCCCAGCACTCTGTCTGCTTTCCCCGAGCCCGATGCAGTCTTAGCACCATCAGCGACACGGGCAGTACAGTTTCTGGGACAACGGTACAGAAGACGGAGCGTAAACGTCTGAGCCCAAATGTTCTTTACGTGTCGTTTCATGCTCTGGTTCTCCACGTTTGCTTTCCAGTCGTGAGAAGCCCAAAACTTCCTTCTTGCGGGAGGGTCAAAATTCTTGCTTTTGCTCTTGGTTAAAAAAAAAAAAAATCTGAAATATAAAGTATACTCCAGTTATACATCAGAGCAGTATAATTAAACAAAAGGGCTGATTAGCAAAAATAAACGCTAACACCAGTAGTGGCCTGGGCTCTTGTGTTTTACCAGAGTAACCGTGCATGGTGTCCAAGCTGAAGACTGGGAACTTCACTATGAAGCTAGAATTCCTCCGTGGTCCTACGTGACTCAGCTCTGCTTCTTGCCATGTTCAGAATCTGACAAACTGCCTAAAGGTATCAGGCACCTGGGGCATCCCAGGTGGCACTAGTGGTTTAAAAATAAAAACAAACCTGTCTGCCAATGCGGGAGATGTAAGAGACATGGGTTCAATCCCTGGGTGGGGAAGATCCCCTGGAGTAGGAAATGGCAACCCGTTTCAATATTCTTGCCTGGAAAAATCCCACAGACAGAAGAGCCTGGTGGGCTACAGTCCATGGGGTCGCAAAGCCAGACATGACTGAGCGCTTGTCAGCAGCAGCATCAGACACCAAGGGAGGCATTCACGGGGCCTCATTCAGAGATATCATCCGAAATCGCATGTTTCCCAAATAATCCTCCTATCGGCAAGTCCCCCTCAACTTGCTCTTAACAAACAGCAACTAGCTCGAGGCAAGTTGTAGGTGACGCTGTTAAAAGGGCTGCGTGATTGAGCTGAGTTTCACCACTGACATCTAATTCTATAAAGCTGTGTGTCAGCTGTCGTATTTCCACATAAGCTGATATTGGAGATTTCTCAGCTTAACTTTTTATCACTTTCATAGTTAAAAATTCATTTTACTGTGGATTAGGCGGAAATAAGTAGACAAAAAAACATTAATTCATGAAGGAAATTATCACTTTGGAATAAGGCTGGCAAGAGCTGTGTTGGATTTCTGGCCTACAGAAGGATAAAATCATAAATGCTACATAACACAAGTTTTAGTAATTTGTAAGTAATTCCTTTTAGTAATTTTCTATGGCAGCAGTAGAAAACCAATAGAACCAGCCACCCCTACTCAGTGACCAATTGTCCAAGGCTGTAGGAAGGTGCGTTAAGTGGATATGAGTCCTGCAAAGCCTAAAATATTGCCAACTGGTCCTTTACCGAAAAAGTTTGTCTCCAACCCCGATGTGTGCATGTGTGTTAGTCACTGCAGTCGTGTCCGACTCTGTGCAACCCCATGGACTGCAGCCCGCCAGGCCCCTCTGTCCATGGGATTCTCCAGGCAAGAACACTGGAGTGGGCTGCCATGCCCTCCTCCAGGGGATCTTCCCCACCCAGGGATCGGACTTGTGTCCCTTACGTCTCCTGCATCGGTGGGTTCTTCACCACGAGTGCCACCTGGGAAGTCCCACGCCCTCATATTCACAGGCAGACCCCAGGACAAGCGGCTTGCGTTATGGAGCGCTCATTTGATGCTAGGCTCTGGGTTATGTATTTTGTACTCATATCAACTTTCTGGATGGATACTATTTTGGTCCCCATGTAACAAATGAAAAAAATAATTCAGGCAGAAAGGTTAAGTAGCTGTTCAGGTCACCAGCTGAGCCACCGGCAAGCAGGGACTCCAACCCACGTCTGGCTGACTCCCCAGCTCGGCTCACCCCTTGGCCACTCTGCGCCCCAGATGCCTACCTGAGGCTTCTTATCGCTGGCAGAAAGCGATGGGGAGCTGCCGGCTGGGCACCAGAATGCCCAAGTGCAGCATCTCCACAGGCTCGAGGTCTGTGGCCACGATGTCGTACTTGCGGACGATCTGAAACACAGGAGCACAGGAAAGGGGAGCTCGCCCCTCCGCCCCCACCGTGAGGAGCAGCCCAGCGCACGCCACCGAAACGCTGCCAGGGCCTTACCCAGCAGAGTGCCAGGTGGAGCTGGAGTTCAGCTAACCGGCGACCGACGCACATTCTTTTCCCAACGCCAAACGGAAGATGGGCAAAAGGGTTGATCTTTTTCTTGTCCTGAAGCCACCGTTCAGGCCTAAACTGACTTGATTCCTCAAAGTTTTCTTCATTGGATCCCAACACATGGGTATTTAGAACCAACACAGTCTAAAATCACACAGAAACATAAAGCACTTAAACATTTGAATAGCAAAATTTACAAAAGCCATCACCTTACAAATGTGAAAGTAACCCACAAATACATAACAACAATGAATGATGCCAGCATATATTGAGTGCTTGAAAAGTGCCAGGTGATAAATACTTCAAGAACGTTATAATTTCGCATCTTATTTTCACAGCAACCACGTGTGGTAAGTTCTATTAGTATTCCCATTTTACAGATGAGAAGGCTGAGGCCCACACAAGTTATGTAACTCACTCAAGGCTCTACTTGCATCCAGGTCTGTCTGTCTTCATAACCCTTATTCCTAATACTAGACTACATAACACATCAACTGTATACTGCAGTCTACATTTTTCCAAAATCAATGCTCTCCCAGTAGAAATGTTTCAGGAGATCTGCTGGATATTGGAAGAGGGTTTCTCTCAAAGCTCTGTAAGGTATAGACTGTACACATTTTACTTACTCCTTTGGGTAAAGCATAGTCCCCCAGAACCATCGCCTTGTCAAGAGTCCGCGTTGTAAAGGGAACACTCGGGTTAAGCCTGAAAACACAAAATCAGTGATGTCAAGGTGGGCACAGACCAAGTCTGAGCTCAAGGCAATTCAGAGTCTGGCTAAATAAACAATCACTGCCTAAGTTCTCATAAAGGGGACACGCTTCCAACCCTTTACAAAGAAGTTCTCTGTCTTCCCAATATTTGCCTCTTGCTTTTATTCCTTACTGTGTTGGTTAAACCCCCAAGTGTAAGCTTACTTCATAGCTGCTAACAGTGACTTTCCCGTTTCACTCTAGACTTCAAATGTGTATGTTTACGCGCCTCACCCGCAAGCTTGCTGTCTGTCCCGGGTTTCTTCTATCTACCCTTCGTAAAGTTAAAGATATTTCCTTCTAATCCTAAGATGTTATGAGTTTTGTTTTCCAAAAAAAAAAGGAATCTTCCAAGACCATTTTACACAGAGGCTCAGAAACCAGCACATCTCTATGTCTTGTTGTATAATAACACGGTTCCTCGCTGAGCTTTCATCTCGCTTCCTTCATTTGTGCCCCTAATCTTAATTATCGCTTATAGTGTCCATCCAAGTATTATTGTTACTGATTTAAAGGGGGCAGACTCTGGGTCTCCAAGGTTTAATAGAATTTGCCCAGATGATTTAAGGAATGAGCCATAGGAAAGGAGTATGGTCCTGGAGTTTCCTTTTTTTGGAGCTTGCTAAATGTTTCTGAATCAACTACGGGAGGGGGGTCCCTTATGTGTTGGTGAGAACAGCCCTCTGACATTCGCATTAGCTTCGGCACGTGTTCTTACCTCATAGATTCTTTCAGACAGGCTTTTAAATATGGCATGTTCCTCAAATCCTCTGCCCGTGGCAACTGCTTCTCAGGCAACACGCTCTGAATTTCCTTAAGAAGCTTTTGTTGCACGTGGGGATTACGGGATAAATTGTAGAGAAGCCACATTAAGCTGTTTGCCGTCTGAAAGCCAAATGGACATAAACTTGAGTTTTCTGTAAATGAACTGGCTTAAAACTTGTATCCGCTGAACCAAAGGCGGCGCCTGGCACCTTGTCGTGAAAACATGAGGGATGCTTTTCACACATCCTTCTTGGCTGTTGTCTCAAGTACCAGATATGAAAAGTCAGATTCAGTGTATAAAACACTTCCATGCATAATAGCTTATTTCCTGAGGGAATCAGAGTAGAATTGTTTGATTAGACAGCTGCATTAAGACACAAAATATAGCTCAGTATAAAAATGGAACACAGATGAGGACATGTACAACCGGGAGATGAGAAGTCAGACGGGTGATTGTAAAACATCAACCTTCAGGTTGCTGTAAGTTTGTCTTACATGAGATGTCACCACTGGGGGAGCTGGATGAAGGATGAAGGAATCCTCTCTATTGTTGCTTAGAACTGCAAGTGAATCTACAATACCTCAAAATAAAATTTGCTAATTGTTTAATCTAAAAAATAATATGAAAATTGAGTGGGGAGAGACAGATGGAGATCCTAGGAGTGTTACTAATAAAAATGGGTTTTTAAAAAATGTTTCACTGCAAATGCACAAGAAACTGCATTTCGGGAATTTAAAAGAAAGCCCCCCCCCCCCCCTTTTGCCATACCCTCAAAAGCTCCCATAAAATAAAAAGGCATTATCTATACTCAGAGTTTCAGCCTCAAGCAAAGAGCCCTGGTAGAAGGCAGCCAACACCAAAATAAGAAATTGTAGCATCAAGTTGAGTATTTCAAGGAAGCAGCCACAATTCTGACAAAGACATTCATGGCCTTTTAAGTGGCATCCTTTATTTTCTTTCCAAAGGCAAGGAGAAGAGAAAAAATACTGGCAGAAACAGCCAGTGCAGCTTTTAGCTTCATAATACTCACCACTGGTAGTCTTATGTATTTGTTTTTAGGCCTAGTCTTGGCTAATTTAAGCCAAATATTCCCATAAAAATGGTCATTGTGTCCTCTCTCAGCAGACACAAAGACGCTTTAGCTAAGTGCTATGTGTCACTCACACAAATGAGCAAAGTGCAGGACAACTTGGAGCCGATGGTATTTATTATTTTTGGAAGAAGATGCCTCCAAGAAGCCTTCTTCATGTCAGAGGACTGGCAGCCTCGGCTGCAAATAAACCGTGGATGTCATTATTACAAGAGGCCGATTTTCAAAACAGGAAGAGGGCGTAGCCACCAAATTAGATACACTTTCAGATTTCTCTGATTTTCCAAATGCAACGTTCAGAATAGCCAGGACGAAAAAAGAGACAGATTGGCCCGTATCAGCGGGTCCCTTACCGCAAGCGCCAAGCAGAGTTCCCAAAAGGCGGATAACTGCAGCTTCCACCACAGCCCTGAAGGACGGCCCTGGCCTGTGGGGCTCATTGCAGGGGCTGGACGCAGGGCAAGCGGCCTCAGAAACCTCGGGGGTGCAGAGTGTCCCGGCCTGACCTCCGCGGAGGAGACCTGTCTCCTCGCTGGCCTTCCCCCTTCCGCTCTCTCTTGGCGGGGTCCACTCTCCACCCACCAGCCAGAGCCCACTCTTGTTGTTTTGCTAAGTCGTCTCTGACTCTCTGTGACCCCAGGGACTGTAGCCCTCACAGGCCCCTCTGTCCATGGGACTCTCCAGGCAAGAGTACTCGAGTGGGTTGCCATTTCCTCCTCCAGGGGATCTTCCCGCCCCAGGGATCGAACCTGCATCTTCTGAATTGGCAGGTGAGTTCTTTACCACTGAGCCACCAGGGGAGACCACTTTACCAAACCTCAATTTGATCAAATTACTCCCCTGTTTAAAATGCTCCAAGAGCTTTTCATCACAGGAGTAATAATCCAAACATTTTACTAAGTGAAAAGTGTTAGTTGCTAAGTGGTGTCGGACTCTTTGCTACCCCATGGACTGTAGCCCGCCAGGCTACTTTGTCCATGGAATTCTCCAGGCAAGAATACTGGAATGGGTTTCCATTTCCTTCTCCAGGGGATCTTCCCTACCCAGGGATTGAATCTGGGTCTCTTGCACTGTAGGCAGATTCTTTACATCCGAGCCACCAGAGATGCCCCATCTTACTAAGGCTCCTGGCTAACAGAACCCACGGACTTCTCCTAAGTCAGCTCTGACTCCATGCGCTAGCTCCTCAGGCCACCCTCTTTCTGCCCCAGGCCCTTTGCATGTGCTGTTTGCTCCACTGGGAATGTTCCTCCATCAGATCTTCCCTTGGTGGTTTCCTCATTATTCCAGCGTCAGCTCCATTATGACATCCTCAGCGAGGGACCACCTCCCCTGCCTCTCAATGACGTCACCCTGATGGCTTCCTCCAGGGCCTGGACCACCATCTGAGATGATGCTCTCTCACTGGCCACTTACATGTCCATTGTCGGTTCCGCACAGCACTGAAGCTCCTTGAGGGGAACTGGTTCTTTGTGGTCTCTTAGGTACCCGAACAGTGCCTGACACATAGCAGATACTCAATAGTTCCTAGATGCTTTCATTTATTGAACAAGTATTTACTGAACACCTACTATGTGCCAACTTCTATTCCACATCCTAGGAATACAGCAGGGGAAAAAACGAAGTCACCACCGCTATGGAACTCACATTCCAGATGGAAAAAAAGAATAAGGGGGAAGCTTCACTGTTATCACTTTCAGGAGCCTCTCAGAGTAAGAGAGCTAATGGGAAAATGAGCTGAAGTTCCCACTTTTCACAGTCTTCTGGCGTATGCAGAGAAATGAGAACCTTGCTATTCCCTGATGTAGAAAATCCTCCTTTTTGTTCAGATCAGAGACACCATGGAACATGGAACAGAAATGACCTAGTACACATTTTCCTCAGAGATGACAGTTGTGTGAGAGGTGCTGGGCCATTAGGAATATTAATATTATCCCTCCAAAGATGGCTCAGAAAATGAATCGAAGATACTGAAACTCACCTGAACACCGTCAGTATTTGTGTTTGGAGCTTGGCTGTGCTGTGTACCTACTGAGAATATCAACCATAGCAAGGACAGAATTTTGGCTTTGAAAATTAGCTGTTTCAGAATTCCCTGGTGGTCCAGTGGTTAAGAATCTATCTGCTAGTGCGGGAGACACGGGTTTGACTGCTGGTCTGGGCAGGCTCCACGTGCCGAGGAGCAGCTGCGCCCGTCTGCTACAACCACCGGGTCCCACGCACGAGAGCCGGCGCTCCCCACTAGGGACGCCACCGCAGTGAGGAGCGCCTGCTCCGGCCAGAGCAAAGCCGCGCGCAGCAGCGAAGGCCCAGCACAGCCAACAATAAAATACACGAGTATTTTAAAAAACTAATAAAATAAAATTAGCTGCTTCGTTGAAATTGAGATCAAGTTTTCTCAAGCTCCCTCTGTTGACAATTTTAAGTGGAAAAGAAATATCGGACTAGCAGAGCATTTTTAGACTAAATATCAACCACAGTGAGGCACTTTGGTAAGAGGCAAAACTACCTAAAATATATCCAGTTTTTAAAAACCTAGATCATCCACCTTGCTACAGTGTAGAATTCCGCTGCCTCTGAATTCCTGTAGTAGCTTTCATATCTGTCATGACACTGATATTCTGCTCTGGGTTTTTTCCCTGCATGTGTGATAAGTTGCCTCCCTCGTGTGTGGCTCTTTGCGACCCCCTGAACTGTAGCCCTCCAGGCAAGAACACTGGAGTGGGTTGCATGCCCTCCTCCAGGGGATCTTCCTGGCCCAGGGACTGAACCCACGACTTACATCTCCTGCATTGTCACTAGCACCACCTGGGAAGCCCTTTCTGTCTCTAAAGCACATGAATTTTTCTATCACATGTTTACACACACAGGCTGTGCAAGGGGTCTCCCACACATTCGAGCAAACTTTTTATTTCTGCTAAGCTTTTAAAGCTCAGCACATCCTTATGGAATGGGTGAACTGAATGACCATGTACAATTTGTTGTGAAAAAGATTTTACAGCCCATTGATTTAGTAAACCCAAGCCAGGCCCACCCTTACCGTCTCCACCGCAGCCAGCTGGAGCTCCGTCATGGCCGCATACAGCTCTTTCTTTGAAAGCTGATTGTGGTGATAAATGTCACAAAGCAAATCCATGCTGGGTCGCTCAGAGTATTTCTCTAACCGGTTGTCCACACAAGCTTTGACTTTGGAGGAGAGAAAAGAGGGGAGGAAATCAGCTGAAAGTCAGGACGAGGAAAAGAACAAAGCAGAACCCAGGATCCAATCTCCCTGCAACGTCCAAAGGCTCTTTGCGGGCAATCTGACCATTTGTTAGGTAAGCTAATATTGCCTTGTTGCTAAGTCACCAAGGACTGACCAATGCCTACGTGAGCACAAGGGTCCCCTGGGAATCCTCTTAAAATGCAAACTCTGATTCAGGAGTCCAGGGTGGGCCTGGAAGTCTGGTTTCCAGCAGGCTTCCCTGTGGTGCCGACGCTGGGTCTGTGGTCGTGTTTCGAGTAGGGAGCGCCGAGAGTTCAGGAGAGGTCATCGTGAGACAGCGGTGGGATTTGGGTCCGTTCTCAGGATCAGAACCGGGACTCACAGTCACTGACAGAGGCAGCGGGCCCTGGCTCCCAAATCAGCAGAGAGGAGAACCCGTCCCCTGGCAGCAAACAGCAGCACACGCGTGCAGGCCCAGGGCAGAGCCCACGCCTGTCGGCAGTAGTGGCGGATGCCTCTGCTGTTCGCAAAGTGCATTCGAGAGAGACATCTCCCTCCCGTCGACCCACTGTGGAAGCCACCATCACAACAACAATCACAGTGGCGAGGGCAGGAACGACAGGACTAGTTAGAGCTGAATCTTCCGGAGTCCTCCTGTCTGACCTCAAATCCTGTCTTTGGCATCACCTAGCAGGCAATCTTGATAAAGGTATTAACTTCCTTGTGTCTCATTTCTGATAAGAGGGTCTGATAAGAGGACCTATCTTATAGGATTTTTGTGAGAATTAAATGAATGTGTGTGTATGTGTGTGTGTATATGTGTGAATGTGTGTATATGTCTTTGTGAATGTGTGTGTCTGTGTGAATGTGTATGTGTGAATATGTGTGTATGTGTATGTGTGTGTGTGAATGCGTGTGTGCATGTATGTGGGTGAATGTGTGTGTGTTTATGTGTGCATGTGTGTGTGTGTGTGTGTGTGTGTGATCCTACAGAGATTCTTAGCATCAAATATTCCCTCCATGCCATACCAGAAGTAGGTCTGATCCACTGAGACACTGTGCTATGCTAGGTTTCACACTATCCTTATTAGACTTAAAAACAGTTGCACTGAGATCCATACTACTAACTATAGATACTATTAATGCTACTATTATTATTAGCCCATTTTAAAGACAAGATAACTGAGAATGAAAAAGAGTGAGGACTTCCTGGTGGTCCAGTGGCTAAGACTCCAGGCTCCCAATGCAGGGGGCTTGGGTTCCATCCCTGATCAGGGAACTAGATGCCACATGTCACAACTAAGACCCAGTGCATCCAAATAAATAAATAAAAATCAATAAATATTAAAAATATATTTTTTTTAAGAAAAAGAGTGTATTTGGCAAAGCCACTATGCCCAATGACAGAGCTGGAACTTGAGCTCAGGAATCTTTGACTCCGAAGCTCTTGCTTTTAATCACTCCTATTTCTCAAAAAAGACTACAGAAAACTACCTCCCGCCTTTCTCTTAGAATGTATCTGCACCAAGGCAATCCCCAGAGTCAAGCATTTGCACAGTTCGAAAGAACCACCAGGAGCGGCTCCAGCCACGGGCGGGGCGCTGAGACCAGGACGATCACCCGGACCCCAGGCAGCATCCCCGGGGCCAGGGCGGCTGGGGCCCTGTGGCCGCCTTACCTGATGTGAAGATGGTGTCCCAGGCCCGCGTGTGCGCCTGCCAGACCCTGGTGTTGAGGCGCCTGTGCAGCTCGACCGGGGTGACCATCATCTTTCCAAACATGCTCATCATCTGTGGGGACACAAGTGCCTTTCAGCCCCCTGCTCTCTATCTCACAGACAACCTGCACTCCACGAGTGACGTGTCCTAAGCAAGCATCCTCTGCTCCCCGAAGGCTGCACTCCCAGGGGTGCCCCGGGCTCCCGGCACCAGTCCCCACCTGCTAAAGACACGTGGAAATCAGCTTTGGGACGCGTTCCCACTGGATGTGGTTCATAAAAAATTTGATCTTGCGGGAATTCCCTGGTGGTCGAGTGGTTAGGACTTTAAGCTTACAGTGTGGTGGCCCAGGTTCGGTCCCTGGGCAGGGAACTAAGATCCCACAAACCACATAGTGAGTAGAAAAAAATTGATCTTATGACCTACATGTGAAAAAAGAAAACTATAGACCTCATATCCACTTCCATTTCCAATAATTTCCAAACTTCAGTCATTCTTGAAACCGGTTTCACAGTCTCTACCACCCACCTCCATACACAACCTAAACAATCCAAAAAATTTTAATCTGAAAATTTTCAGATTCTTTAAGATACTATTTTAATCAACTGACCTTTAATTGAAATTTCTGCTTTCACTTTGCCTGCCAATGATTTAACATGCTTCTTTATTACATGTGCGTATATGCACGTGTGCTTCCCAGGTTGCTCAGTGGTAAAGAATCCACCTGCCAATGCAGGAGACAGGGGTTCGATCCCTGGGTGGGGAAGATCCCCTGGAGAAGGAAATGGCAACCTGCTCCAGTATTCTTGCCTGGAAAATCCCATGGACAGAGGATGATGGTGGGTTACAGTCCATGGGGACGCAAAAGAGTCAGACACAACTTAGCACTCAACGACAACAATATATGCACATACATTCATGTACATAACACACCTTAAGATGAACACTTAACTACTATGATAAAATATATATGGGAAACATTGGGATGCACGCTTGTTGGGCTCTGTAAACAACTGACAAGGAAACTGCTCTCCCCAGCGGACGCTTACTGTTTTGATGGCCCTGATGAAGTTCAGAGCTTCCTCTCCTGCGTTCTTCTGAAGGAGCCCGAATCTCTTCTCGTACAGCACGAGGCAGATGCCTGTTATTTAAAGTAATCAACACTGTTACCCCCTCACAGAGACACTGGAGCCTATGATTAGAGGCTACCAAAGGCTCAGCCTGTCTCCCATAAAAGTGAGGTCTTTTCGAAAAACAGGGAAGCAAACAGTCTAAGGCCAAGGGGCTTGATCACTCTCTTCTCTTTCAAGAAATTATCTCCAGGTCCAAAAACCTGTCCTCTGCAGAACCTCCTGATCAGAAACACCACTGTGAAGACGAAACCATTTTTATACCTGAGTGAACCTCTCCTGTAATGCATTGCTTTTCTCACTTTCCCCTTGACACCATATGCAGCAGACACTGCTAAGGACTGCCCCATGGTCATTCTTCCCTGTTTCTTCCCTAAGAGAAGCCTGGTTTACTTCGCTTGTCAGTGTATGCATCCTCAGGCAGTAAGCCAGCATGGATCTCAGACAATCCTGCTCCCCGACTTCCCAGGCTTCCGGAGGCAGCCACTGGGCCTCCCGGAGGCACTTCTGCTTTCCTGACAAAGGGGGACAGGTGCAGCCAGCTTAGCTCTTCCCTCTTTCCTTCCTGCCTTCGCCCAGAATGCAGAGGTGAGACCAGGAGAGGCGGGAGCTGTTTTGAAACCTGCTCTGAATGAGTGAGAAGGAAGATGAAACAGACTTGGGCCCCAGTGACAGCGCTGAGTGCCAGCCGTGGACTGGCCTCCTCAGGGTTTCTCGTGACGCTGGACAATGATTTGTAAACCACCATGGTCAGGTTTTCCTTGACTTGCAAAGAAGTGCATCCGATACTCCTTAATTTCAGTACTTCCAGTGGACAATTTCCAAAACATACACTTCTCTCCTCTGTAATCATCTCCTCTCTTGACTTTTCTTTCCCTGAACACCTCCTGTGGATTTCTTATTGGCACGGAGCTTTCTTGTGTGCTAGGCTGACTGCCCATGACTTTAAGGCGAGGTAAATCTGATCAGGGAGACAGGTCAGGACAAAAGCCTCTGAACGAGGGATCCTCTCCAGTCACTCACACCGGCAGCCAAGGGTGAGGCTTCCTTCCAGCAAGTCGGACCGTGGCACCTTCCTGCTGAAAGCGCGCTACGATCGCTCCCGGGACTCTGGGCTCAAAACCACAGCCCACCCCCGGTTTACACAGACAGCGGTGAGCGGGCCTCTGCCTTCCTCCCATCCTCTGCTGTGCCGTCCGCGTCCCTCGCAGGACGTGCTTCGGTCCCTCGGAACTCCTTTCTTTCCCCTCCTTTCTCCTGCCACCTGGAATGCTTTTCCCTGCTTCACGTCCCCCTGGGGCACTCCTGCTCTCCCCAGCCTTGGCTGAGACGGCCCCACTTCCGTGCAGCAGCCCTCACCACACTCAGCCCCTGGGACCCTCCGCCAGCCCGAGCCCCTTCAGTCAGGTGCTCCCCGTCCCACGGAAGGCGCCTCGCTCCCCCCCTCGTCCCCACCGGGAGGCGAGCACATCAAGGGAGGGCTTTGCTTTCATTCCCAGCGTTGTCCTCAAAGCCAGTGACCCAGCTCCCTTCTGTTCAGAATGATCCACGGCTCCACCTCTGACTCCAAGCAGTTCTTTTTTTAAAATGTATTTTGTTTCTTTGGCTCCCCTGGGTCTTAGTTGCCACGTATCATCTTTTTTTTCCTTCAGTCACAGCATGTGGGCTCCAGTCCCTGACCAGGGGCCTAGCCTGGGTCCCCTGCATTAGGAGCGCGGGGTCCTAGCCACTGGACCACCAGGAAAGTCCTAAAGTAGAAGTTCTTTTGGGGGATTTCAGGCTTAATCTCTCTCAGCTCCTCTCCCTGCCCCCCCACCCCCATCCATAATCCACTCCAGCCAGCATCCTCAGAAGTTCCTCAGAGCCACCGCTCATGCTTCCACCCCAGGGCCTTTGCACCTCCTGTCTCCACAGTCGGAACAGTCTCCCCACAGACACGCTGGTGGTGTGTTCCTCATCCTCCTTCAGGCCTCACCTCAAACGTCTCCTTACCAAGCAGACCTGCCTCACCAGGAAGCCGCATTCTGTCTGACTCCCTGATTCCTTGGCAGAGTATACATTAAAGTATGTGTCCTAGTTGGTTGTCACCTCTTTTAAAATCCAAGTTCCACGTGAGCAAGGATGTATGTAGCCTATCCTGCTCACTGCCACATCCCCAGGACAGTGCCTGGCACATTAGCAGGTATTGAATAAGTGTTTGTTGAACGTCCCCATAAACCATCCAGAGGGCATAGCAGCGTGAAGGGCCTGAAAGCTAGAGGGCTGCTACAGCCTTTCCTAGTTGGCAACGGGGTGTGATTACAGAAGGGTGGTCAGCAGAGCTACCTTTATCCTCAAAGTCACTTGCAAAACCAAACGGACAAGACCTGAAGACAACTTACTTTCAAAAGACCATTTGTTCAGCTCCGTGTATAAGTCTTCAACGCGGCCTCTCTCATCACAGAGCTCATCTATTCTACCCATAAAGTCAGCCAAGACCTTAAAAGAAAGAAATCAGCAAAGACACATCTCAGTCACTGAAGGGAAATGCAAGTTTCAGGTTCAGTAAGCTAGCTCCGGGTTTTGCGACCTTGTGTACTGCCCATAATGTTATTCATTCTGAATCATCACTAATTATATATTCTCCTTGAGAGTTCACGTCCTGCCCCGACACCCTGGTACGGGGTTATTTCTTGAGCTTTCCCTGAAGCCTTCCTGGAGCTTAAGTTTCAGCTTTTGATCTAAATTTAAGAAAAGGAAAACATTTCTTCTAATCAGAATGGAAAATAAACCGCGAAGGAGGAACTGGCCAAGTGTCTCTGTGGGCACAGCATGCCAAGGATTCTGGCTGCCCTGAGGTTTCCCACTTCCAGAGCTGGGCACACAAACGTCTTCTTACTGGTTGGTGTTGTATTAAGCACTTTAAGCTTAGAGCCAGGAAATCCGTAAATTCTGGATGTAGTGCCATCACTAAACAGCTCTGTCACCTTGGGCAAGTCGTGGAAGGTTCCTAAATGCCAGTTTCCACAATCGGGATTTTAGATGACTAATGCTTTGCATTTAATGAGGCTTGTCTGGACCCAAGCACTGTCCCAAGGGTATTATCTTAGCTGATCCTCAAATAATGTCATGATGTAGAAAGTACATGTTACCATTTCCTAGGTAACAGATGAGAGGCTTAGAGAGTGACCAAGGCACTCTCCCCTGGACACAAACAAGTGGCCATGTTGGGGTCTGGAGTAGGGTAAGCTGTTGCTGTTGTTGGTTAGTCACTAAGTTTTGTCTGACTCTTGAGACCCCATAGACTGTAGGCTGCAGGGTGCCAGACTCCTCCGTCCGTGGGATTTCCAGGTAAGAATCCTGGAGTGGGTTACGGGGTTTCCCTGGTGGCTCAGACTGTAAAGAATATTGCTGCTGCTAAGTCGCTTCAGTCGTCTCCGACTCTGTGCGACCCCGTAGACGGCAGCCCACCAGGCTCCTCCGTCCCTGGGATTTTCCAGGCAAGAGTACTGGAGTGGGTTGCCATTTCCTTCTCCAATGCATGAAAGTGAAAAGTGAAAGTGAAGTCGCTCAGTCGTGCCCAACTCTCAGCGACCCCATGGGCTGCAGCCTACTAGGCTCCTCTGTCCCTGGGATTTTCCAGGTAAGAATCCTGGAGTGGGTTACGGGGTTTCCCTGGTGGCTCAGACAGTAAAGAATATTGCAGTGGGTTGCTATTTCCTTCTGCAGGCATCTTCCCAACCCAGGGATTGCACCCACACTTCCTGAATTGGCAGGTGGATTTATCACTGAGCCATCAGGAAGCCCTGAAATAGGGTACAAGTGACCAAAAACCCACAGATGAAACTAATAGGCATGTTGTGGTAGCCCACACAGCACATTAAAAGGTACTTTGAGTTTTCTCCCATCAAAAAATCCACAGATTTCATGTGAACATATTAATTTCCACTAGTCATCAAAGGGGCTTCCCTGGTAGCTCAGCTGGTAAAGAATCTGCCTGCAATGCAGGAGACCCTGGTTTGATTCCCGGGTTGGGAAGATCCGCTGGAGACAGGACAGTCTACCCACTCCAGTATTCTTGGCTTCCCTGTGGCTCAGCTGGTAAAGAATCCGCCTGCAATGCGGGAGACCTGGGTTCGATCCCTGGTTGGGAAGAACTCCTGGAGAAGGGAAAGGCTACCTACTCCAGTATCCTGGCCTGGAGAATTCCAAGGACTGTACAGTCCATGGGATCGCAAAGCGTCGGACATGACTAAGCGACTTTCACTTCACTTCACTTGAGTCATCAAAGAAAAATAATAATGAATGAATCTGGTGACACTGGGTCTACATTTCCATGTGGCAGGTATTTTCCAGAGCTGGCGCAGCTGTCCCCTCTAGAAAGGGCGTGTACTATTCCATTTGCTAAAATCCCTACCGGGCCTGCCTTACACATTTATATTAATCACTTGGTTCCTGGAGGCGTTTAAATTTGTCATCTTTCACCTACATGATCCTGTGTGGGTTCAGTTCGAAATAAATACCCAGAGTGGACAGAAGTAAAAAGAGTTCTCTATCTGCTTAAATCCTTCCCCCTTTGGCCCCCTGTTGGCTAAAAGATAATGCCTAAATACCTTAGCATGGCACAAAAATATTGTTAAGACCTTCCCTCTGCCCAGCATCACTTCAGAGAAAGCTTCACTTCAGCTGCCCTAAATGTACTATTCTCTGAACATACCATCTCATGCCTCCATATTGCCAGCAGGCTATTCTATCTGCCTGAAGGCCCTTCTCCACCTTTTCTGGCTTGCAGACTCTTACTCATCCTGCAAAACCCAGATCAAATGTCACTACCTAGGAATTTCATAGCATCATCTCATTTAATTCTCACAGAAAGTTATGGGGGTTTCCCAGGTGGTGCTGGCGGTAAATGCAAGAGACTGCCAATGCAGGAAACCTGAGAGACACAGATTTAATCCCCGGATCAGGAGGGTCCCCTGGACGAGGCTACAGCAATGCACTCCAGTACTCCTGCCAGAAAATCCCATGTACAGAGGCTCCTGGCAGGCCACAGGCCATAGGTCGTACAGAGTTGGACATGACGGAAGTGATTTAGCATGCACGCACAGAAATCTATGGAGTGGGAATTGTGAACTCCCAGTTCATAGACTGGGAGACTGAGGAAGTTAAATGGTACAGTTAGGCTGCATAGCTGGGGTGGGGGTGCAGGACTGACTTTCTAATCCAACTGTAGAGTGTCGAAGTCAACGCTCCTAACTGCTCCGCCACCGAGACACTACTTTAAAAGACAGGCGAGAAGAATTAAAGTTCTGGAGGCGGAGGAAGTGAAGAGGAATGAGGACGAACGAGGAGTCCTGATTCATCCAGACTGTCTGCTTTTTCCTCTGCACTTTGCGGCTGTGGCTTGAAGCTCCACTAACATCCCCCATCCCCAGGAAAACCAGGAAAGTGAACTCCAGTCTGCAAACCTCATTGATTTTGTTGTCTAGCTTCATAATTTCCACTGGTTTCATTAGTTTCTTTTGAAAGGCACTCCTGACCCTCTGCCAGTCTTCTCCTTCCCTGGGAGAGAAGCAGAATTACATTTAGAGCAAACTGAAAGGAAAAGAATGAAGAAGAGGAGATCCCTCCAGCTCTGTAAGTGCATTAACTATATAATCAAATGAACACAGAATCATGCCAAGAAATAGCCAGAGGATATTAGCATTGGAATATTGGGGGCTGGTGTGACAATAGGATGAATAAGCTCCTTTCCTCTGAGCCAAAGATAGTGCCAGAAAGATGAAGTCAGGGCTTCTGGGGTGCCCTTGCTGGGCTTAAACTGGAAGGCCAGTGGCCTCAGTTCCCATCAGTAAGAGTGGGCACTTACTCACCTCACCGGCAAAGCAGAACTGTGTGAGGGAAAATTCTGTCTTCTTTCAACCCATTGAATTGGGTTGAAAGGCACATGCAGAAAACGCCTCAAATTTACAAACTAACTTCTGGCCTTTGAGCTACCAAGAGAGGGTCATGGAATTTCAAGGGATAATTTTGTTTGTGTAACATGAGTGCCTGGCAGGCTGACTTGACAGTCTCATCCTCCCCAGGGGTCCAGACATCACAGTCTTCATAACTTTCTGGCGTTTCTTGGAGGGAAAGGGCTGGCGCGCCCACTTGTCAGAAAGAAGAGGAGCGTCCCGCGCGCAGCACGGCGGTCCGTCAACCCATTCCAGTCCACGCCAGAGCCGGCGACCGCAGCAGGTAGGGGCTTCCGTGCTCTCGCTCCATCGGGCGGGTCCAGCCCCAGGGAACCCTAACTCCCGCGCCCTCCCCGCTTCCAGCCGCCAGCCCCCATCCTGCCTCTCGGACTTACAGGATCAGCAGCCCGTAGCCCTCCTCGCGGTAGTCGCGATAGGCCTTCCAAGGTTTGATCTCCAGCCTCTGGGGGTGCGCGCTCTCGCTGCGATACAGCGCTTCCAGCAGGCACGGGGCCCCCAGGTGCACCGAGTCGAAGGACCCCAACTTCATGCGGAAAATCCTGCCGTACTTCCTGTGGTACTCTACCTGCAGGCGCCGGGCGGGGCGCGAAGTCAGCGCGCCTCCCGGGCAGCCCCCGGAGCGCTCCCCCTCCTCCCGCCTCCCTCCTCTCCGGGACCGCGGGCCGCTGCAGCTGGGGCCGCCGCGCGCCTCGGCGAGGGCTTGGAGAGCGAGGCGGGGAGGAGAGAGGGCACCGGGGCGCGACGGGGCACTTACCAGCGTGTCGTGCTGTTTCTTGAGACCTCCTTTCCAGAGGATCTCCAGCAGGCTGCCCAGCAGTGGCCACTTGGTGGGACCGGGCAGGGTGGCCGCGTCCTGCGCCTTGCCCGGTTCCATCACGGGGCAGAGGGGCACCTCCCTCGGCCGACGGGGCGAGCACGCCGTCGATGTCACGGGTCTGGGTGGCTGCCCCAGGCTGCGAAGCTGCTGCAGGAAGGCGGCAAGGGAGCGGCTGTTGCTAATGGGTGAGCTCATGGCTGCGGGGGACACCGGTCACCTGGGAAGGTGGACACTCGGCAGGGAGAGGTTGTTAAAGAGGCGCCGGGAGCTGCAGGGGCTTGATACACGGAGAAAGAGGGGCAAGGCGGAGCCGCAGGTGCGGCGGGAAGGGCAGAAGGGGGACTGGGAGCCGTCAGGACCTGGGCGAGGATGCTCCACGCGGCACCGCGCTGCAGTCTCAGGGAGCGGATGCCCACCGAGCGCTGGCCACCGGGGCTGGAGGAGCGCAGTGGGGAGCTGGCTGTCTCTTGCAAGAAGGAAGACGGACGTGAGTTCGCCTGTTGGTTTTAAGTCTTACTTCCAGCTCTGGAGCCGAAATGGAGGTGTCCAGGAGGGTGGAAGAGATGCTGCTGGCGCTGCGCTTTCCCCCTGTCCCGCTCCATGCCCGGGGACCATGTATTTATGGAGGCCGGCCGCCCCGGCTGGCCAATGAGCGCGCTCGGCGGCGCGGACCGGGTTGCGGCTGGCCAGGCCGGAGCGGCGCGAGGCCCGGGGCGGGGTGGCTGGGGGTGGGAAGAGGATGCAGTCAGCGAGGTGAGCGAGGGCGCCCGGGCCTCGGGTGACCGGTGCGCGGCTCTCCGGGCGGGAACGCCGCAGACTCCACCCCGGAGATAACTCCCGGGGAAGGCTGGCTCGCCGGAGTTCACCGGGGCTGCGCCTTCCGCGCCTCCCCGCCCTCGCCCGGCGGCTGCCGCCCGGCGCTTGCACAACCTCGTGGCCGGGCGGCCGAGGTCTCCGAGTGCGGCCAGGGCGACTCAGGGCGCCTGCCGGGACCCGCGAACCCGCGCGCCCCCTCAAAGCAGTTTTTGCCAGCCCGGACGGACCTCTGGAGGAAGCTTGGGTTTCTGCACCTCCCGAGGTGGAGAGGGTTTGAGACTTAGTGAAAGGCACCCGAGGAAGTAATTTCACTTTCGGGTCTCAACTTGGGAGCCGAGTTTCGCGAATTTCCTCCCCAGTGCTCCGTTTTGTTATGCAGACGAAATGGATGAAGGCTAGTGAAGCGCCTGCAACGTAGTCCACGGGGCGCTCCACCCGACGTCGCCTCTTCGGGTGGTTTTGGGATGGCGGCAGAAGCGCGGCCTGCCCTTGAGGCGGGGCTCCGTCTCCCCCTCCGACTCTTTGGACCCCGACCTCCCCGTGCACCTTGGAGCCGCGGTTCCCACCTTCCTCACCCATCCCTGCAAAGTCGATCTTAAGCAAGCGCGGGGACACACACGCGTGCGCGCGCGCGCACACACGCCCACTTCTAGAGTCCTCCTGGCCGGCAGGGGTTGAACTCTGTACTAACCGAGGAAGAGAAGTTTGCTGACTGCTTTAAAGTGGTTCGTATTGCCCCCTTTTGATCCAGTACAAAAACTACCGCCAAGGAAGAAGTGAGGGAAGTTTTGTTACCTCTCAGGGCTTTTCAGTTATGTGACTGCATTTTTTTTTTTAATCCCTAGTGTTAAACTTCCCTGGCAAGTTTAAGCTTATTGTAACCTTTTAGCTGGTTTCCAGAAATCTTTTACAGTCGGACTAGAACTTGAACTCTGTCATTTCAGATTTGTCTTGATTACAGTTTAGTGACTGTTCATGTTAATAAAAGTAATATGATATCTGAATATAATTTATATATAATGTATTGTAGCTACATAGCTATCTATATATATACTATATAGCATATGCTATAGATTATACACTATATGTAATATAGTATATCTTGTATACCATATGTTACATAGTGTACTTTCTAGGGTTTATGATGTGCTTCCCAGGAGGCTTAGTGGTAAAGAATCCACCTGCAAATGCAGGAGACCTGGGTTTGATCCCTGGATGGGGAAGATCCCCTGGAGAAGGAAATGGTAACCCACTCCAGTACTCTTGCCTGGAGAATCCCAAGGACAGAGGAGCCTGGCGGGCCACAGCCCATGGGGTCACAAAGAGTCGACACGAATGAGCAACTAAACAACAACAAAGTGCTTATGACTTCAGTTCAGTTCAGTCCAGTCGCTCAGTCGTGTCTGACTCTTTGTGATCCCATGAATCGCAGCACGCCAGGCCTCCCTGTCCATCACCAGCTCCCGGAGTTTACTCAAGCTCATGTCCATCGAGTCGGTGATGCCATCCAGCCATCTCATCCTCTCTCGTCCCCTTCTCCTCCTCCCTTCAATCTTTCCCAGCATCAGGGTCTTTTCCAATGAGTCAGCGCTTCACATCAAGTGGTCAAAGTAGGAGAGTTTCAGCTTCAGCATCAGTCCTTCCAATGAACACCCAGGACTGATCTCCTTTAGGATGGACTGGTTGGATCTCCTTGCAGTCCAAGGGAATCCCAAGGGTCTTCTCCAACACCACAGTTCAAAAGCATCAATTCTTCGGCACTCAGCTTTCTTTATAGTCCAACTCTCACATCCATACATGACTACTGGAAAAACCTTAGCTTTGACTAGACGGACCTTTGTTGACAAAGGAATGTCTCTGCTTTTTAATATGACTTAGCCAGGCACTAAGATAAACAGTTTACATAGAATTTCCTATTTCAGCCCAATGACAAAAATTAAATGAATAAATAAATTTGAAATTTAGAGAGTTATATAATTTGTCCTGTGACACAGACCTTACCTTAGGCTCCTGTGAGAGTCAGATCGAGATATTCTGATTGTAGCCTTTACTATGTACATTCATATACAACATGCTATATTATATCACCTTTTCTTGAACCAGTAATCTCTCAGAATATTGGAAGTATTTCTTATATGCAAATATCTCCAAAAGAGAGGTGGGTGGGATCAGTATATGTAGGGCTGTGTGATGCAAATGTTGCTTCATATGCCAGTGGTAAAATAAAACAAATAGCCCCCAAAAGAAGAACCATTTGGTTCCCCACTGTGTGCCTGGCTTCTGGTGCAATGCTTGCACATAGTAAGTGGTCAGGAAATGCTGAATCCTGTTGTTATGTCAGCTATTGCGTTACCCATCCCCCCCCCCCTTTTTTTCTTTTCTTTCTCTCTCTGCGTGTATGCTTAAGCAGAGAGGAAAAGCATTTCAGATTTGCTAGGGTTTTCACGAGTTTAGCATTATTTGCTTTATAAGTGCCAAGTAGATGCTTAGAAGGGCAGGCAATCCTTGGTCTCATAATAGCTGCAAAAAATTTTCTATTTCGGGGAAATTGTTTTCTCCTGTCCAGTGGAAAAAGTCTGGATTGCAGAGGAAACAGTACTGGTTCTTTGAACCTTTGTTGACATCCACACTTACCCATCCTTGATGAGATGCAGCTCAGGGCAAAACGAGTCCTTTGAGCCGGTCCCAGCGGCGCGCTCTCACTTGGCTTGGCTCGGGTGAGTCACCCCGGCAGGGATGCTGCTGGGAATCGCTAATGAGAGATCTTGGAGCGCCTCATAAATGCCCACCATCATTACCGAGACAGGCCCGGGCCCTCTGTTTTGTTCTGGGAACTCTTACCGAGTCCTGAATGGATAATTATACTCCAGCCCTCACACCAAGCGACCGCAGATGACAAAGTCTGTGTGTATGTGTGTGCGCATGCGTGTGAGTTTGTTCTGTGATGAGGGCGAAGCGACGGCTGCGTCTTCTCTGCTGAGAATCACAGAACTCTCAACTGTATCACACGCTAATACGCAGTTTTGTGCTTCAAAGCTCTGGCTCAACTCCGAGATCTCCTTTCTGATTGTGGAATCTGGAAAGACTACGTTTCCACATCTGTCGAACGGACGGTGTGAGAACCAACCACACAGTAAAGCTCAAGTCTCCTGGAAAGCGCAGTAATAAAAAGGGCCAATCCAGTGGGGTCGCTGTGAGAATGACACATCTACAGTTCTTAGAACGATGCTCAGTGAACATTACCTACAATATCACCGTTGTGTGCCTTGCTTTTTGCAGACCTCACTCTAGACAGGCAACATCGATGTCCCAGGTCTTATTCCTAGTATTCAACTTAACAGTGTAGTTTTGACTCAGGGAGCTGTATAATTGAGGAGGACTAGCAGAGAAATGCTGGTGAGTGCAAAACCCCGCTCAGTCACTTAGCAGCCAGATCAACCGGAGACTTTTATCTTAGTTTACTGTTTACTTTTACCTTAGTTAAGGCTCAGGGGTGTGTGTGAGTCGCTCAGTCGTGTCCAGTGCTTTGCGACCCCATGGACTGTAGCCCACCAGCTCCTCCGTCCATGGGATCCCCCAGGCAAGAGCACTGGAGTGGGGTGCCATGCCCTCCTCCAAGGGGTCTTCCTGGCCCGGGGATCGAACCCAGGTCTCCCGCACTGTACATGGTTCTTTGCTGTCTGAGCCACAGGGCTCAGATGCCTCATCTCAAAGTGCTCATAATGGAGAGTACCTACCTAGTAAAGAGCTTTTCTGAGGGTGACAAAGCTCCGAAAATCCCCAGCATACAGTAAAGGCTCTGAAATGTTTATTGTTAATATTAAGAATGAACAAGGTTTGTGCTCTCAAATCATGGTCATAGTCTCTGTTGCATTGGTCTTGGGTTTTCTGTCTAATAAGGCAAAAAAATGTCGACATCAGTTTCCTTGTTTTTGTCTCTGCTAGAGCAAATGACACAGTGTTGTTTATCTTGGCCAGCATCCATTATGCACATAATAGGCAATTGATTATTGATGATTTCCTCATTGCCAAATGAGAAGGATTTGTATCAATACATTCTTTGTTTTCTGAGGAAGAGGTTGATGGTAAATACCAGAGGGTTTTATTTGGGTGTCATATAGGAAGCAGTTCTATATGACAGAAAGAATAGCTTGGCTCGCAACAGCTTGCGTTGAAGCCAAGGCTCTACCACTCACTACCTGTGTGGCCTTAGGCAAATTACTTAACCTCTCTGAGCCTAGTTTCTTCATTCATCAAATTGGGGGTTACTATACTTATGTCTCAGGAAAGTTAAGATGAATACTTGAAATACCAGGGGAAGCACCATCAACCAGTGTCTTCACAGACATCCATTTGACTCCTGTATATGCTTGATGATTTCTGAGTAGAATTCAGTGCTGTTGGTAAATTAAAGTTATACTATGAAAAGTGTATCTTAAAGCCTCCAAAAATGCAGTTGCATGGGGAGAATTTTAGTAAAAGTTCATTAAAAGAGCAGCTCCATTTTTAAGGATATGAAAAACATAGGGTTTGCATTCAAGTTTATGAGTCATTTTTACTATTATTACAAAGTATAATTTATTGAAGAGCTAATATGTGTCTGCCACATTTTTTGTATCTCTACCCACACCATTTGTAAGGTAAGTATTATTTCCCATTTTGTGTAAGTAAACTTGTTTCTTACAGTGGTTAAGCCAGATGTGAGTTCATATCTACCATTTGCTACATGTTACCAAGGTAGTTCACCTTGTCCTCACCTGGAAGATGGGAATAATAATAGTGGCTCTTATATGTTATCGTCACATTGCAGTTTTGTCTTGTAACCTGGGTTCCAGCTTGTTCCAGGGGCCCTGAGGCCAGAAGGCCGTCTGTCTTGTACTCACTGTATCCTTAGTAGCTGTCAGTTCAGATCAGTTCAGTCGCTCGGTCGTGGCCGACTCTTTGCGACCCCATGAACCACAGCATGCCAGGCCTCCCTGTCCATCATCAACTCCCACAGTTTACCCAAACCCATGTTCATTGAGTCGGTGATGCCATCCAGCCATCTCATGCCCTGTCGTCCCCTTCTCCTCCTGCCCCCAATCCCTCCCAGCATCAGGGTCTTTTCCAATGAGTCAACTCTTCGCATCAGGTGGCCAAAGTACTGGAGTTTCATCTTCAGCATCAGTCCTTCCAATGAACACCCAGGACTGATCTCCTTTAGGATGGACTGGTTGGATTTCCTTGCAGTCCAAGGGACTCTCAAGAGTCTTCTCCAACACC